ATCTAAATGACTCGTTTAATTGTCTCGCATTTATGTCTTATAATATGTAATCTAGACAGAAGACTTTTATTGGTTCTGCCCTGTAGATTAATTACATTGTGTTTTATTCCAATAGATCAAACTGCCTTATTTATGTTTGGTTACTTAGGGAAGCTAGTTAGAGTAACGTTTTTGAAGAATGTTAATCATTTACTTGTCAAAATTTGTGTACTTTTCTTTGTTATATTATATATGGTATATATATTATATACTTTATATTATTATGTCACTATCATATACCACACAATCCTCCTACGTAATTGACCTTTGTTCATGACTAAAATCACTGACTGTAATAATTGCTCTGTGACTGATTATCCATTAACCACTATAGCTTGTAGCGAATGGCACTTTTTCTATTGAGATTTTTACCCAATCAGACGAATTATAACCTACTTTTTATAAGAATGTACCAGACAGGTAGGAATGAACATTAAGTTTGAAAAAAGAGGTAAGTGATTAATTTTGTCCAGTTTATGTTACGTAGTCACAATACGTCAACGTTGATTCTGAGTTTAAATCAAAAGTCGCGTGCTTAGCTTTGATCCAAATGCTTAAATGTTAACAATGAAAAATGCCCGAAGTTAATGGGAAAAAGTTATGTTTATTTATGTGTCTATTTATCTAGGGAAAGGTAGAAAAAAGACGACAGAGATAAAGTAGATAACAATAAACGTGTCAGACTGTCTCATCATCCGTCATCGTAAATTTATTTAAATCGCACATGGAGTCACTAAAACACAAATCTCACTAAATGTGAATATTGTTTATAATATAAATAATTGAGAACAAAAGTAAAAATATAAAGAAGAGATTTATCATGATTTAGTCGAAACAGTAAGTTCGCAAAGGTCACTAGACATAAACCTACCTCATCAGATTTATTGGAATTTGCATAAAATAGAAGTCATATATTTTTATCAGTAGGGGATTTTGTGGATATTATAGTAATTTTAATAGCTGAGATCGTTAGTCAATTTAATCTAGACCACCATTGAGGTTAAGCGCTCGCGCGCGAGACTAGTAGTTCCTGGGTTCGAATCCCACGAGGCGAGATCGTGGATGCGCCTTGCTGAGAAGTCCCATAATAGGACGGAATGGCCGTCCAGTGCTTCCAGGTTTTCCATGGTGGTTTAGCTTCAATGGATTCACATATTATTATCACAAACAAAAATGTGGATACCATATAAATGACAGACTAAAGTAAGCATAATCTAATGAAATTAAAACACTAATTTTTCATATAAATTAATTTAAGGATAACATTGGTTTTTGATGGAGATCATAAATCGACCTTTAGGTCACTAGCATACAAGTTATGCATTCACGTGTGAGACCGAAGGCCCCGGATTCAAATCCCGAGTGTGGAACCGTGAATGAGCAATGTTGAGGAGCCCCATACTAGGACAAAACGGTCATCAAGTGCTTCCAGATCTTCGATGGTGATCTAACATTGATCGATTCATGATCTTAATCAAAATCTCAACGATCTCCATAACCCCATATTGTTCATTGAATTAGAGTTGGGCTAAAATTTAGTCCCATTAAAATAAGTTCGATAGACAGATAAAGTGCATTAAAAGTAGTTATAATGTTATCGATCATCTTGGTAAACAATCCTGGTTAACATAAATTAAAGCAAGAGAAATGTTCAACAGTGCGCGAATTAGATTTTATATCATATCATAAAATAATTAGCTGTTTGACTGATACTTACTGAATATACATACTGCCTGGTTGGAATTTGTTAGACTAAAATATTGTCTATGATTTGAGGCTTTCCAGGTGATACGATATAAAATCCATTGAAGCTGTTTAATTCCACTTTTTGTCTCGGTCTAAATTTCGAATTTTGTTTTTTATCACATGCTTTTCATCCTCATGAACTGTTTTGCCAATTAACAATAGACAGGTTTTTACCAGCAATTAAATTCAGACATTTTGTCCCATTTTAGACTTTAAAGCTTGATTTAACTGAATGCTAGTGTTGACGTCCACGCCAAGGCTCGACCCCAGTACCCTTCTCTTCGAACTTTCAATACGTGAACAACTGATATATTGAGCCCAAATAGCTAGAAACGTTTTCGATGTTTATGACGTTTATATCCTTACTAATGGGCTCAAATTTTAATATGTACATCAACATTAGGATTTAGAAACATCCAGACAGCAAATCCCGAGTATGACAAAAGGCGCTTCCTGAATTCCATAGTTAACCACAATTTATCCATTTGGAATTATACGCTATGAAATAGACATATCGATGTAATAGGCGTAGGAGCCAATCAGAAGTGACCTAAAGGAAACATGAATTTCAATAGCTACGAAATAGATCAATTTCTTAAGGATTAGAGCGGTATATATATGAAAGAGTATCTGTGCATTTTATTCGGTAGCTCCATACACTTTTTCATTCACACCTGTGTTCTCGTTCAAGTACTCAGTTGGGGATTTAGTGCGTAGCACATTGTGTATCAGTATCAAATTCTGGACACCACCTGGCGAAACAATAATATTATTGTATTTATTTACCTTTTTTTATTTTTGTCTCGTCCCCTTGATCATTGTGTGTCGATGTAAAATATGTCATTTTGTGTCAATAAACATTTCTACCAGATTATAATTTGTTTACGAATGATTGACTGGAGAAAGAAACGATTTATCAGTAGGATAAAATCTTGAATAGATTATTGATTTTTATTTCTTTAATAGTCTAAAAAGAAACAAAACATTATCACTAACAAATGCTGATAACTTTCTACGCAGCCTATCTTGCATTGACTTTCTCGAGTCGACCAGTGATGTCTACTCAAACGAAGGATAAGTTACCTGAGTTGGCCTCCTCCATGTGCATTTATAAGTTCAGCTGCTCCTGTGGAGATAGCTATATCGGGCGTACTACAAGGCAACTTAACCAACGAATGAGTGAACATCTACCAGCATGGTTTGGGAAGGTCCAAATAAAAACAATACGCAGTTCTATCTTGGCACATCTAATTGATAGTGGTCATACTGTTGATAAATTGAAATCATTTCAAGTGATCTATCGTATACCTCCATCGTTTCCCAACGGAGTTCGCTCCCGTCTACTTCATATAGCAGAAGCCATAAGAATTCGTACATTCCATCCCAATTTATGTGTACAGAAGAAATTCGTAACCCCCCTATCCCTTCCATGGCCGGACATAACTTAATAATTGACATTATTATTATTTGTAAAAATTTTTTTTATATTTATTTTGGTTATCATTTTTTGTTTGTTTGTAATTTTCTACCTCTTTCCGTTTGTATTCTTCACTATCTATTTACTTACATACTTCTTATTACGTAATGATTTTAATGTTTTGTGATTACTATTCCAGACTATTTACCCACATTTGACCTCTTAATTCTTATGTTTAATTATTGATAAGACTTTTGTTATCGTAATTTACTATTCTTACTACTATCAGTACACCTGTCTTCCCACTATCAACTTGTACTTTTAACTATTATTATGCTTGGTAACGTATTTCTATTTCATTGTGATTATTATTGACTCAAATAGCCTTGATTGGTCTAACATTTTTATATAAATATTCATGTATATTAGAGTAAAGCCTGATGACGATCTAATTGAAAACAATTGTTCGCTTACATATGTTGTTCTAATTTTCACAATGGGAATCTTTAATATTCTAAAATGCTGAGCAGTTAATATAGCCCCGGTAGGATTTATATTTTCAGGTATTCTGTGTTCATACACGACAACTTTATATTTTGGTAATGATTTGATTAATATTTAAAACTACAATATTCTGCTCAATCAAAAATTTAAAAATTGGAATGAAATAAATGTCCTTTAAACAAGTGAGTAGTTATATGAATTCACTAGCTTAGTGGATTTCATTTCGAATATCTGAATTGTAAGATATTGGATTTAAGTCCTGATGGAACCGAGATGCAAGTACATCCATCTAATGAGTGCCGAATAGAAAGGAAAGTCCGATGTAGATTCTACTGTCGGTTAAATTTCATCTACTTTACAAAAATGGGTTTATTAACTGTTGATGAACTAGCAGACTAAGTTCGCTAGAATAGCTTTCAACCTGAAGAATACGAAATACAAATGCTAGCTTTATGACCAAAATGTTTTTATTTTGTATAACTGTTGAAAATATCACAAATGTATAGTGTTATTTAGCTTTACATTAAGTCGTTTTCCCTAATATTGAGACAAGAAATACTAAAGTAACACTGAGAGGCTGTTTTGTTTTGGATTTTACCTTCCTACGCTTTCAAAAGGAATTTATATAAAGAAAAGCTAAAAAAAAGGGTTACAAAGTATCTACATCACTGTCAAACTACCAAGTTGAAATTCTGTGTTATATAATTCTAACTTAAGATTATGTAAAGATTACTGTCAGTCACCTTTAAACCTTTGTAAAAATTGGTATGATTATTCCTGACCAAATATTTATTGTTTGTTTGCTTGTCTAAAAATCAGTGGTTTGCTTTATTTCGATAATTTAAGAAGATGCTAACCAATTCAATTAATTATTAGTTATTTTTTGCTTTGAAACTTTGTACTACTTACAAAACTCATAATTACAATGACTAATACTATAAAAAAAACTATTTAGTCAATATTATCCAGTCTGATTTATCCAAATTGACAATGACTTTCTCATGAAATCTAACAAATTCGAGATGTATTAAATAAATAGGAAATTAAAAATATAATTTTATTCCCCTTTGATTGGTTGATTTTCCTTAAATTTTAATTGGTTAGGATCAAGTATTTTACTTGGAATATTATTGGTTAAGAGGAAAAAGTTAATCGTATCATTGTAAAACAGAATAGTAATAAGAGGTAGTTCTAATACCGTCGTTTAATTATTTCATATTCAATACGACAATGGATTTTCACTATTATCATCATTATCAGGATATATGTGAAGTTAGAAGCTAAGTGAAACATTATGCCACGAATAATATTAAGTTGGATACTCTTAATATGGATTACATGCGCTTTTTTATCTATTCTAATTACTATTTCAAGTTTTCTTAGTCCATATTGGTTAATTCGTATTGAAACATCAGAAACACGTCGTTTAACAGCATGTCCACAAAATAATCTGTTTGATATCGTTAACAGTAATAATAATGATAATATTGATATAGATTTATTTACTTTAAATTCTAATAGATCAGACAATGAATTGATACAATTAATAATACCACCATCTATTGGACCATGGTTTCGATGTCAGAGTATATGTAGTAAACTTTCAGATTCTGTCAATAATAATATATTGAACTGGGAACTTTTTGATGATACTTTATTTAAATGTCAATTATCAGTATGGGGATTTGGAGCGAAACCAGCTATTGCAAATAAATTAATATGGTTATCTGGATTAATTAGTATGATTGGATGTTGTTTATTATGTATATCATTCATTTTTATATCACTAACTCTATGTAAACGTGAAATCTGTGATCATAGTGTATTTAGCTGTACTGGATCATTGCTTGGTAGTGCTGGTGAGTAGATTGTTTGGTTTTTATTATATGTATGATATATATCTAAGAAAAATCAGTCTGACAACAGCATCATTCCCTTATCTTCTTCGGTTTAAATTCGCCAGAAAGAAACATAGTAGATCAGTAGAAAACGAAATCTGGGCTCTTTTTCTAAGTTGTGTAAATAACATACAAATCCTCGCAGAAAAATATTGATTACTTGGTTTGTTGTTATTATTTATTATTATTATTATTGTTATTATTTACATTGATAGTGTGACTTGTATTTAGTCTAGCTGTCTCAATTCATTTCCTATATTCCCAATTCAAGTGTTTGTCAAAATTAATGGTGTTTTTTTGTTTGGAAATGTCATCAGAAAGTAATTATTAATTTTATTATGCTTTTAATATTAAGATAAATAATAAATAAATATTATAGGTATTACGTAAAGATGAGAAAATAATCAGACATTGATTGGTTTCTATCCCGATCAAAAAAGATTTGCTATGTGGGAGTTTATGAAGATTGATGAACTTCATAATTTACATGAAGGATTGATCTTAGTTAGATAATCATTGAAAACCAAGAAACACTAAATATCTGTTTTATCTTAGTATAGAATCCTTCAACAGTAAACACTCGCAACCCCGCAAGAGATTGAAGATAGAACTGTCAGATCTTATTATTTTATTTTATTTAAACACATAAATATTGGTACAAGCAAGCACCAGATAAATATGCGCCTCACAAATCTCATTCGATTTGTGTGAGGACTGGGATACTGCCCAGGTGCCCAGACTGAAGCAGGTGGTTTTCTTAGGGGGTCACACCCGGAGCCTTTGACCTGAATGTCTGATCCACAAGGCAGTGGAGCATCGTGAGGAGATGTAGTCCCATGGTAGCCGTTGACCAATGACAGGTTCGTCCGCCATTCGTTCCATCAGGATACTGGAGCGATGTGCACCATTGGTTTGAAATCAGGGTTTTCCAACTCCCCTAGGTGGACCCGATCAGATCTTGAGGTGAGCTCTCAACTTTTTGACCATTGAGTTGATATCCGATGGTCTACACTTTAATAAATTCGCGATTTGGGCTGTCTAACTAAGATTCATTAGTGATGTAAACTACAAAATATATTTTCAAGTTTATAGGTGTTTGATAGTTTATTATCAAACTAAACTTAAACTATGCTAAAATCTAGAATAATTAGATTTAAATCCATAGATTTACATATTAAATAGGACAGAAAAGTTTCTTTGCAAATCACTACGTTACAATTTCGTCTCGGCTGATATCATTTATTTGGACAATCCAATGTGGAGATAAAGTTTATTAGAACTATTTGATAGGTATATTAGCTTCATACATTTCGAACAGTCTGGTCATACATTAACTTATAAATTTATTTATAAGTCATAAATACAGATCAAATCAGACAATTAGAACATGAGAAAATAATATGACAATGAAGAACAGACAATATGAATCATATCACTGTGATTATTGAATCACATTTGTCAGGTTGCATTTAATATAGTAACTAGGCTCTCTCAACTAATTTTTGAGTCGAAAACGAATAGGTCAATGTGGTTACTTTTTTAATTCATAATGGTAAAGTTACATTTTGTTATGTTAAGAAAAAGGAACAAATTCTTGTATTTTACTGAGGCCCATATGATCGAGCAGTTGTATTATCTAGCTCGAACATCGGTCGGTTCACCTATATTGTTTGTAGGATCTATGACCCATTTACCAAATGGTACAACGACCAATGAACAGTAACCAAGACCTTAAATGTCTATCGGTCATCAATGTATCTCCAACTCAGTGTTCAGTCCAAAGATGAAGATGGAAAACAGATTTATTCTCTATTGTACTCTATTGGATCATGACTGAAAACTCATACAATAATATATGCCTCACAACCACACAAATAAAAAATTAATATGTAAACACAATTCAGTCATAAGTGGTATAAAACGGGAGTAATAGGGAAATGATTAATGTATGGTGACAATAAAAAGTAATAACAATAGTCTGTGGATCTAACAATAGCTTAGAAATGGACAAATGAAAAAAATACGACAACCTAAGTGTATAATAAGTATGCAAAAAGATATGGAAAATAATTTCTTGTAGAGTACTTCTGAAAGTTTGAATCTCCCAAAAATTCTCTTCCATATGACACTAATGAATGAATGTATGAAGATGGAAATTGAATCATCAGATTTTTTTGGGGGGTAATTCCACTTGGTATTTATGATTCGGCGAAATGACTACACATAAAGTAGATCGATTATCACTTAAATTGTATTCTGAATTTTTCCAAACGTAAAATATCCATCATCGTTCAACTTATTTCCTTTTTATAAGTTACACTTTCAGTTCAATAGAGAAACTAAAAATAAATTTTATTTGTATTTATGAACGTAATTGTAAATATCAGAAAGGGGTTTTGTGGATATTATAGTACTTTAATTGTTAAGTTCATGGGTCAGTTAAAGCTATACCATCACGGAAAATTTGGAACCACTGGATGACCGTTTCGTCCTAGTGTGAAGCTACTCAACAATGCGCATCCACGATCTCACCTCGTGAGATTCAAACCCAGGACCTATCGGTCTCGGGTCCGAACGCTTAACTTCTAGATCACTGAGCTTCTATTCAATGTTAATTGGATAAGATGTTTCCCAGCATTTTCAGAGTTTCTCTGGGTTTTTTTCGAGTAATTTTGTGGGTCTACTCAACAGATTTGTTTTACCGTTAATATTATTATCACCAGCTTTTTCAGGCTTTTCTATTAATGATCTCTTGATCAGTTTTTTTTTCAACGTGATAAACTAAATCAACACACAGTTATTTTTAACTATTATGTTATTTCTGTGACTAAAATGGAAACGGACACTCGGATAAATTCAAGTTCAGGAAGTCTGTTTTAATGACTAATAGATATCAGCTAATAAACCATTGAAAACTAAAAAGTATTTAATATCTGTGTTTGTTTTGTATGACTGAAGATAGGAATGAATTCTAAGCCAATTTTTTACCATAAGAATCCGAAATGATGGAATCGATCAGGTGTAAAGGGTCTAAGTTGTTTAATACCAAGGAATTTGCGAATTGAGACGAAACAGATGTCTATGAATTTTGAATTTAAATGATTCACAAGTTGATAAAAGTCCTTGATTTAAAGAAATTTAAAAAATTCAAATTCTTCAGAATGACCTTCATTTATGTAACTACTAAATAAATACTTCCGTTTCAGTAACGTATAGAAATGTAGATTTAATAGGAAAAAACAGGCTAATATGACGTGTTCTACGCATAAGTCTATTGGAATAAGAGAATTTAATACTATTTAGAAATAAATAATAAAACAGAATTTCAATCCTGGAAAATGAATTTAGGAGTTTTGTTTTATTTCACTTCCCAGAGACCATTGCCATCGAACGCTTTCGATCTGATCTATGTGAACAGAAAGAAAGTGTTATAAATCCCTTATGGTATGTTAAAATAATTATGTTCGTATAACTTTACTTATTGTGTAGTCTAATCCAACGGTATTCACTTATGACGTTAATTATATATCATCTATAAATCGTGATTATAAAACCATTTACATGTTAAACTCCTCTCATATGATTTCATTTTCCACATGTAAATCATTCATCGATTTTTACGATTAGATGTCCAGTGTCAAATTTGGTGATTTTTTTCTACTATGATGATTTTCTCCCCAGTTTCCCAACGCCAGTCTCAACTTCATTGACTAGAATATACAAAATTGTGTTTAGAAGAACGTGTTACGGGCGGCCTGCTTAAACATCTGGGCTACCTGTTTCCCGTCATCTATATATTTCAACAAGTTATCTAATATTGTTTGTTTTAATACATCATTATGGCTATTAAGCACACAACCTATTCCAGTGCGTTTCTGAAAACTGTACAACCTTTCGCTGTAAAAGTTAGAAAAGGTCTAATCAGAGATGTCGTGTTTGCTGGGAACATGCAGCAAAAAGAATATACATTATTCATATGTCGATTGACAGAACTGCTGACATCCAACTGGCGATCACTGAATGTTTATCATCAGGAGCAACGAAGAAATAAGAAACGTAAATATGTTGAAATACTTTATGCTGAGAATTCGATTTTGTACCAAATAATATAATATTGAATCAAGCTAATAATAATAATAATAATAATAATAATTTGTAACTTAAGAATGTTTTCAGTTGATTTGAAGCCTTAAAATAAAAGTCGATTCATTGTATTCTGTGCGATAACGGAAGAAATATTGGGAATGCTATTACTCTCAGCTCTATTTTCCATATAATAATTATCTGCATCCATATCCCCTTGACTGTAAGCTTCCAATGGTTTATTAGCTATTACTATACATCTTACTATTCATTCATTATGACTAATTAATTAGACACTGTTTAATTCACTCTCTAACACTTATAGTTTGATTGTGCTTAAAGTGTGATTTATTATTCGACATGCTATGTGGTCAGGTATTCTCTATATAATATTGTATGAGCTTTTAACCATGATCGAATTGGATGCAATAGAGAACTAATCTATCTCCTATCAACGTTTTTTGATTGACCACTGAATTAGAAGAGGACTTAAGCACCAATAGACGTTAAGACCATGGTTACCGTTTATTGGTCAGTGTGTAAGTTTATGAATTGGTTACAGGTTCGACTGGGAATATAGAGCACTTGATTCAGAATTCACAAGCCTTAACGAAACCCATAACCAATGTCCTTCACTCAAGATACAGCATCCTGAAGATTTTTTCTATTCTTGGTTTTGTTTAATCTTTTTATCGATCAACTTGATCCAGTCAACGTTAATATTCTTTAACTACTCCAATACTCTAATTGTTTTATGGTATAATCTGAAGTACAAGTGTTTTAAAGTTTGGTTAACCTGAATGAAATTAACTGGTGAAGTTTATACCGGTACAAACCAATATTTATAAATCTTTTATGATTGATATAATAAAAGTAACTATGAATAGAGATTGATTTGGTTTACTGATTTAAACTTTAATTATTCAAGTTAACCTACTTGACTGGTGATCAATTAATTAACTAATTACTTTTATGTATAAAGATACAACTTGGAGATATAACTTGGCAGTACTCGGAATCAGCGAAACCCATTGGACACAAACTGGACAACAAAGTCTAGGTACAGGAGAGATGCTGCTGTACTCCGGTCACGAAGGGGAAAATGCTCCACACACTCAGGGAATTGCTCTAATGCTGTCCAAAGAAGCACGAAATGCACTTGTGGGATGGGAATCTCATGGACCCAGGATAATCAAAGCATCATTCAGAACAAAGAAGCAATGAACGTTATCCAATGTTATGTACCCACCAATGATAGCAACGACGATGATAAAGATCAGTTCTATGAAAGGCTGCAATCAATTATAGCAAAGTGCTCACGAAAGGACCTCACCATCCTTATGGGAGATCTAAATGCTAAAGTTGGAGTGGACAACACAGGATATGAAGATGTAATTGGACGACATGGACTAGGAGAGACAAATGAAAATGGGGAGAGACTTGCAAATTTATGTGCATTCAACAAATTGGTTATAGGCGGCACAATATTCCCCCGCAAACGCATACACAAAACTACATGGATCTCACCGGACCACACCACAGAGAACCAGATAGATCACATCTGTATCAACAAAAAATTCCGAAGATCAATGGAAGATGTGAGAACCCGGAGAGGAGCTGACATAGCTTCAGATCACCACCTGGTTGTGGCCAAGATGAGACTGAAGCTAAAGAAACACTGGACAACTGGACAAACAGCACTACAAAGGTTCAATACAGCCTTCCTTCGAGATAATGACAAGCTCCAAGAATTCAAGATAACTCTCAACAACAGGTTCCAGGCTCTACAGGATCTACTGAATGAACAAGATACTACGATGGAGGACAACTGGAAAGGGATAAAAGAAGCCCTAACTTCAACGTGTCAGGAGGTTCTTTGTCCTAAGAAGCATCATCACAAGGAATGGATCTCTATGGGAACCCTGGACAAAATTCAAGAAAGGAAGAACAAGAAACTAGCAATTAACAACAGCCGAACACGAGCAGGGAAAGTCAAAGCACAAGCAGACTACTCAGAAGCAAACAGGGAAGTTAAGAAAAGCATTAAGGCCGACAAGCAGAAATACATGGGAGAACTAGAAACGGCGGCGGAAATAGCTACAAGAGAAGGGAATATGAGACAGTTATATGATACAACGAAGAAATTGGCAGGGAGATACAGCAAACCAGAGAGACCAGTCAAGGACAAAGAAGGAAAGACAATCACTGAGATTCAAGAACAGAGGAAAAGATGGGCAGAATACTTCGAGGAACTGCTGAATAGACCATCCCCATTGAATCCATCGAACATCGAAGCAGCCCACACTGACCTTCCAATAAATGTCACTCCACCAACGATCGAAGAAGTCAAGATGGCCATCAGACAAATCAAAAGTGGGAAGGCGGCAGGACCTGACACTATACCAGCAGAAGCACTGAAGTCAGACATTGAAATAACTGCAAATATGCTTCACCTTCCATTCAAGAAGATTGGGGAAGAGGAACAAATGCCAGCGAACTGGAAAGAAGGATATCTCATCAAGATACCAAAGAAAGGAGATCTGAGCAAATGTGAGAACTACAGAGGAATCAGTTTGCTGTCAGTACTAGGAAACGTTTTCAACAGAGTGCTGCTGAATCGGATGAAAGACGCAATAGACAACCAACTTCAAGATCAACAGGCTGGATTCCGTAAGGATAGGTCGTGCACAGACCAGATTGCGACACTACGGATCATCGTTGAACAATCAGTTGAGTGGAACTCATCACTATACATCAACTTCATCGACTTTGAGAAGGCGTTTGACAGCGTGGACAGGAGAACATTATGGAAACTTCTTCGACACTATGGAGTTCAACGTTATCCAAAACTCATACGATGGACTATGAGCATCAATGATAAACAAGGAGGAACGGATGCAGATGTAAAGGCGAGGATTGGTAAAGCAAGGGCAGCATTTCTACAATTGAAGAACATATGGAACTCAAAACAACCCTCAACTTATTTTAAAGTAACAAACTTCAATATGAACGTCAAGACAGTTCTACTGTACGGGGCTGAAACGTGGAGAACTACTACATCCATCATCAGGAAGGTACAAGTATTTATAAACAGTTGTCTACGCAAAATACTCAACATCCATTGGCCGGATACTATCAGCAACAGCGTTTTATGGGAGAGGACAAACCAGCTTACAGCTGAAGAGGAAATTAGGAAAAGACGTTGGAAGTGGATCGGACATACATTAAGGAAATCACCAATTTGTATCACGACTCAAACCCTAACTTGAAATCCGGAAGGGAAGCGGAAAAGAGGAAGTCCAAAGAACACACTACGTCGGGAAATAGAAGCCGATATGAAAAGGATGAATAGCAACTGGAAAGAACTGGAAAGGAAGGCTCAGGACAGAGTTGGATGGAGAATGCTGGTGAGCGGCCTATGCTCCTCCACAAGGGGTAACAGGCGTAAGTAAGTATAAAGATAACGTGTTACATGTTCAATTTCATTATATTGTTTTCAAATGAGATCATATTATGTAATCATTCAGAATATGTAATACGTTAGAAAAAAAGAGAAGAGTAATTCTAACTAGGAATTTCAAAATTATCCTAGTAACAGATGTTATTAAAATTATCATCAGATTTATTTATATACAATCTAATTGAATTCCCTCCCACGTTTCTTCCTTTATTTATTGATCTCATTCAATTTTGAATTTCGTAATTGACTATTCACTTTGTTTTAAGTCTTGAAAGTACATTTGATAAAACACTAAATGAATGCTACTGGATTGGTTAATTTAATGGATTTATTTAAGGTACATTCATGATAACAAAATTTGTAGTTTACTAGTACTTCGTACACGGAACTGACTAAGTTCAATTGTATCTATTTGCTTTACTTATTCTCAATGATATATTAACTTCAATTTAGGATGTCATTTGAACATTGTGAAATTCCTTATGGTATCATTGAATAATGCAGATGCGATTTTATGTTGATAATTAGTTGTCTTCAAGTCATATACATAGATAGTAATACTTTAATAATGTAATAAGCATTCAGTAGTGAAACTTCAGTGAAAATAATTTCATTATGTTTTTTCACTCATTGAAAAATATAAATTTCTGGTACTAACATACATAATGATAAAGAACAGGTTTCGAGAAATCATCTATCCTATTTAGCTCAACATAGGCTTTATTAATACTAGATTTCCAAAGAATTTTGACTTCTTTTTTTTGAATAATTGTCTAATTAATATCGGTACATAAAAAAGAACTAACTTTAAATTGAAAAAATCTCCACAAACTTCCTATCTTCATACTAATTGTATCCTTAATAATGACCGGCTTGAAGATGGGTTCTTGAACATCCAATGTGTAATAGTGATTAATAGAGTTCAGTTATATTGACAGTAAGTCAAATATCATTAATGACACTAAATGATAATCTCTTAATATAATGAATTGACAGAAGCTGTAGAGAGAAAACAATCAATCATTTATTCTTAAACATACATAAACCGTACAATTGATTTATCTGCCTAAAAATAATTACAAAAAAAAACGAACATTACAGTATTACTTAGATTATTATCATTTACAACGGTATCGTAAATGATTATGCAAGAAAATACTGGAATCATAAGTGGATAGAAAATACTTAAAATCACAAAATGAAGATAAAATAAAGATAAAAAGAACGAGTCCTAGAGTGAACATAAACTCTAAGATACAGGTATATCCAGCTGACGAGTCTCAAATGGGACGAAACGCGCGTCCTGGATTCCACTACTAGCCACTATCGATCTTTGCTTACAAACTTCCATTTTTATTTATTCTTTCTTTATCTCATTTACATAATATTATCCAGAATTTAAAAGAAAACACTATTGAATTCAACACATTTCTTATCACCATAGTGAAAGATTAATCTATAATAAAAACAAAAACTTTCACGTGTTTTTTTCTTTCAAGTTGATCATTTCACCAAGGTAAAATAGTTTCATGTATTTTTTGTGTTGCTATGTAAATTCATTTTAAACAAATCAAAAAAATATGTAGGTACATCAACCATTGAATAGATTAGAACTATCATATTGTATGCATAATATATTATGAAGTCATTTTGTGTACTTTATTAGGTACTTTGGTATAAGTGTGTGTTTTACACAATGGGAAAGAAAACAATCTGAAAAAAAAGTTCACTTTACTACTTTTTTGTAAAAAAAAAAATCGGTACCTTTTTTATTATTTTTCTATTTTGAAGGTACATGAATAAAATTCGATTGTGTACTTGTTTGTACGTTGGGTTGAACGAATGTTGACATTGTAAATCAATAAAACTAGATAGTACTTTAAAAGTGAAATGAACTAAATAAATATTTAGATTTACAATGATTTGATCATTTATTATTCAAAATTTTGTTTAGTTTTTTTTTAAGTAAACGAAAGGTTTCAAATGGTGTACACACATTCAAGTGAAATTAGAATCTTCTGACTGCCCTGAGTAAAGAAGCAAAAATCTGTTGAGATGATACATTTATACCTTTCTAAGTGTGAATTATTGTTTCACGATTTCGTTAAATCAATGTCTTGTTTGATCGTAAAAGTGAATTGGTTAAATGAATTGACAACTTCAGATATCTGGATGGTCAGATTAGATCTGGTAGATTGACGACCAGAAAGATTTCCGTCAAATGTTTATCTGCATCTCCGAGATAGTAGCATACTGCGCATCAGTCCTCTCTATATCATTACACAATTAAGAAACATGACTTTTGGAGGTATTAAACTGCCATACGTTACTAATATTCCATTATGAACGTCTTCGAACCATTGCCAATATCTGGGTGGTTGGTAATGTCTGATGGATAGAGGTTTAGTTGTAGAGAACTAAATAAGAATAGCGAGGCGGTTAATGATGCCCTTACTGTTCATCTACTGAGGTTGATAAGACATATGTTACTCATACTCCTCAATCGTTCAATAATCGTTATGCCAGTCAGGATATATTACGAATTCATGTAGTCATCAACCGTTGGTCTGAGAGGTTCTGGAAAGTTGGAACCTCCTGGTTAATGTCTATATGGTAATTGTGATCACTGGTTGAAAACGTTGAATAATGTGCCATTAAACCGGTTGCAATAGTCCATAAATTTTTATTCTTTATTTTGTTTTAAGTCTTGAATCCTTATTAATAGTGAAATCACATTGGTGCAAATTACAAACAACGAAGATGATTGAATTAGCCGAACTGATAACATTCTTCATGGAATTGGTCACTAAAGTCCAGAAAAATAGGTTTTAAAAACAGGAAAACTAAACAAGAGATAACCAAAATAATAATATATCTTTTACTCACTAATCATATAATCAACAATTAATCCAAGATGAAATTAAAGATTATAGAGCGAAAATTATTCCTTTGCCTCTCCCTATCGTATGTTGGCACCTATTAAATGTAATTACTGTGATAGAAACTACTAATTTCCGGTCTTCAGTATTTGTAGTCATTTATTTTAATAGTAGATATACTTATGTCAACCCTATTCAGATTGATAGCTTCAATTGACTCAGGCTTTCAACTATGAAAATACTAAATCTCCACAAAACCCCTTCTGATAATAATAATAAATATTTGCTAATCCATCAATTACTGAAATGAGGTGAACATTTCTATATGTTACTAAGGTAATCAATTTTATTAGATTTAACTTATTGAAAAAAATCTCTAACTCTCAAGCTAGATGAATAAATTATGATCTTAATTTTTATATGTGTGGGTTGATGCTATTACAAAGTGCTTTTCATCAATGTTTATTAACTTCTGTGGATCATAAGCGAATTACTTCAATATTGCTTTCTTGATCACCCGTTGAACAAGTTGGTAGTTATTTGGGCTCGATAGTTAAGACGATAACACACTGGTTCTTAAAGCGATAGATGATGAATTTAAGTCTTGGTGTGCATATCAACAATGAGATGCATGTACATCCAGCTGACGAACCTCAGATAGGACGAAACGTGTGTCGCGGATTTCCCTTCTAGCCATAGTCCAAATATACTGGTTACTTGTTACTTTCCGCAGCAAGAAATATTCTGAAGATGCTAATGTTTGATTAACTAATTGAGTGGCTATACCGGCAGTTAGAACCTGATTCTTGAAAAATTAGATAGTACCATTGACTAACTGAATAAATATTTATTAGGGAATCAGTTCTGACATTTTTGTGGATAGATCTTCGAAGAACTAACAAATCTATTTCAGTCAAAGTTATCGTTTCAAACATAAAAACTCAACTATGTGAATAAAACTCAACTCAACAAAGCGAATAATATAAAAACTAACTAGGTTTAAATTAATTATTCATACCCTCCTGCGCATCAAAGAACAATTTTCTCACATCTTTTCCCTTTGCACTCCTCAAACCAATCATCCAATAATATTATTGATTTCCAAAAACGATGTAATCGGTTACTATTGTTTTAAGATGGACAATCTCCACAAATCCCCATTCCGATAATAAAAGCCAGTAATCTGTTCAATTATGTATTTTTGAAGGAGAATGAGTTCTATTAATCACACTATCACTTGTCTACATTCAACCTCAAATTTAATTATAACCAGAATTAGCTTGTATTTTTGCTTGGCATTTTTTTAATGCACTTGGACGAAAAAAGTATGCTTCAGACATACCATGCACATATTTTGGTAGCGAAATAAAGAGAATTCAACGAAGGAAATTTTCTTTTAGATGAAGTAATTTGCTTAACCTATACGTTCGTATTTATTGTTGTTTGGTGAATGTATGTCTATGGAAAGATAGAGAAGATTCCGTCATAAAGTGATTCAAGATTGCAAATATCAAAAGTGGTTGCGTAATAATCAGGGAATTAAAGAAGAATGGTAGGATGGAAATAATGTACGGTTCAGAATTATAAAAGATAATTGTTCACTTGACAGATATGAAGGAAATTAGAAAGCATAAAGGTCATTATAATAACTGAATAATAATCATGAAAATATGTTAAAGGATAATGATAATTGATTACGGTTTAAAATTATAAAACGCTAAATTAAAAAAAAACCAAAATATACTACAGAAGGGAATTAGTGTCAATGAAGGATGCGAGATTAGAAATATCGTTTTTGCATGTAGAGTTCAGGCTTGAGCTGGTTGATCGTCAACGCCTCAATAGTGCATAAGTTTTTGATTAGAACTCCCTTGGATCCAGTTCCTATGGTTGTGTGAATTTTCCTGAAGGAGGACTCCTTTGGAGCGATGTGTCTAGGGTTGATTGGGTGCTACTGTATTGAAATCGTGACTGTTGTGCATTCTCCAATTAACTTTCACAGTTCTATCTCGCATATTTTCTACCTTTTTCACAGACATATATATTCACCAAACAACTAAACATACGAATGTACGGCTTGAGTAAATGATTTCATAGAAAAGAAAATTTTTTTCGTTGAATTCTTTACTTTTATTCAATGACACAGTGGATTATTTTAATTTTGGTAACACTTAGGCCAGTCTCCATTTTTTGTATTTATGGTTCTAACTTCATCATTTATTATTAAGCCTAGAGGACAAAACCCCAGTTGTTTTAATGTGACCCGGGAAAAAAATCAGTCAACTGGAACGCAAAGACATATGAAAGAAATAAAAAGTGTGAAGACTGTCAGTCAATCAATCAAAAGCAGGGTCATCAGAACGAACTGATCAAGCAACTGTAAAGTAATTTACAGAAAGCTTCATTTTCATTTATCATTGTCCTCCGTAGTAATAAAAGCTTCTCAATCAAATTATTTAACTCAGAAATCACGATATTTGCAAAAAATAATAATAAATTACTGAAGAATAAAAACAAGGTCACATTTCCATCTCTTATATGAATAAATATAAGACTATATAAAGGTAACTAAGTTGATAGTCAACGTTTCAGTGAATAATTAATTGACTGAGATAAGCTGAAAAAAAGCTATTGAAAATTACGAAAAATTGAACATTTATTTCAACTTAATTTTGAACTTTATTGAAATTTTTGTTCATAATCTATCTAGTATCACTATGGTGATACGAAGCACCTTTAAAAAAATATTTTATGGAAAAAAATGTCCATAAAACAACGAATTAATTATTCTTTTGATAAATGTTAATTTGTAGTGAAACTTTACACTTTCAAAGTAAAAATGTCTATCGTTTAAGGGCTCTGGCTCGAGACTGGTATGTCCTGGGTTCGAATCTCGTGAGTGCAGGATCGTGGATGCGCACTGCTGAGGAGTCCCATAATAGGACGTAACTACCGTCCAGTGCTTCCACGTTTTCTATGGTGGTCTAGCTTCAATTGACTCATGACTTCAACTATGAAAATACTAAATTCTCCACAAAACCCCCTCTGATCTGTAAATTAAAATATTAAACGGAAATATGGTTGTTCACTATTTTATGTATAAGTAAAACACCATGTATTAATTGATAATTAATTAATTGACAACTTATACTTCTTTGAATGTGAATTTTTTGATTCCGCAATTGGTGATGTTCTGTAACCAAAATTATTAATCATTGTTGCTATATATGTATCCTGAAGGAATTGTTCCAGTGTGGCTTCATGTTATAAATTTTAATGTAGTTGACATAAGGCTAGCAGTACAATCCAGGAAGCACATTTCATCCTACTTGGTACATTCAACTGATAAGTCTTAAATACAGGTTGAAACACTTTAGTCACATTGCGGAATTAAGACATTTTGTATTCGATATT